ATTCTGCCCTGCCAAAAGAAACAAAAAATGCAAAGGGAATTCTTTTATTCTTTTATGCATAGGAAATTCAATTTTAAAACCAACAGAGATTCAGGATTGAAAAAAAAATCTTGTTATCTGGGCAATTCATTCGGCTTGAGCTACAGTGTGTCCTAGTAAACATGAAATTATCAAAAGACGACCAAAGTATCATAAAGGTAAGTTTGAAATCTTTTTTTCAATCATAAACCATCTGATTAAGATTAAGAAACCCAAAGATGTTTTGAATATATTTATATTAAATCGGATAAATTGGATTTAAAATCAAAGTTACAGGAGCTACGAGGTAATACATCTTTCATTAAATAAACTATTTTTAAAATTAGCTTTAATTGATGGAGCCGTTTTGACGTTGATTACATTCAAGTCAATTCCGTATAAAAGTCAACCTGGACTCAATATAGAATATTTAAACCATGCTAAGAAGATTTCTGGTGGTTCTACCGAGTTCTCCTATCAAAATCTGAGACAATTCGGTCCAAGGGTTCATGAGTTATGATCGGATAACAATCAGACATCACTCTTTATATTTAGATAGATGTATATCGGTGAAAAAATTCATAATTTGATTTTTGATCGGAACTTGGAAGCGGGCATTGATATCTCTTGAACACTTGAATTCGATATCCAATGTGGCCACTTTTAAATTTGAAAATCAATGCTGTTTACATCTATCAATTAAAGTTAATGGCTATCAAAGGAAATCGGAGAGGAATCAAATTAATCCGTAGATCAGCTTAAGCTGGAGATTTAACCTTGATCCCGATATTTACAGCAAAAAAATTGTCACCTCCGTCCTTTTTTATTTTTATACCTCATCCAAGCTTCATAATTAGAAATGAATAGAATATATCTCATTTTCCTTAACACTAGTTAGTTATAATTGTGTTTTCTTGACATTTTCTTGAAATATTAGTAACAAGCTATAATTAGCAATCATTAATTTTAATAAACTCAATAATTACTCTTTTAATTAGATTAAAGACTAATTTTTTTTCTGTCCGTCCGTTCTTAAAGATCATGTATAAATATTGTATTTAAATTTAAATTATGTGAATAATGTCGTTTTATATTACAGAAAATAGGATATATGAAAATTCACATGATTTTATGAACTTGACGTTACATATGGGTGAACAATTAGTTAAATTTAATATACTAGCCTTAGAGGGTGCTTCGCGCCCATCTTCTAAATTAATTGTGAACATGTTCTCTTTGTGTACATCGTAAAACAAAACAAAAATAATTCGCGGATTTTCACAAAAAATTTCGCGGATTTTCAAAATTTTCAAAAATTTAATGAAGATCGAATTTTGATTGAGACAAATATTTAAAATTTCAATCATTCATAAACCTTCCCTGGGGTCCCTAGATATCCCACAAAAAATTTGGGCCCGATCGGTTCAGCCGTTTTGACGTTTATTGGATACAAACAGACAAACAAACAGACAGACAAGCCAAATTTATAAATAGACTAGAAATTCAAGGCGCTTCGCGCCCTTCTTTCTAGCCTTAGAGGGCGCTTCGCGCCCATCTTCTAAATTAATTGTGAACAATGTTCTCTTTGTGTACATCGTAAAACAAAACAAAAATAATTCGCGGATTTTCACAAAAATTTCGTGGATTTTCAAAATTTTAAAAAATTTAATGAAGATCGAATTTTGATTGAGACAAATATTTAAAATTTCAATCATTCATAAACCTTCCCTGGGGTCCCTAGATATCCCACAAAAAATTTGGGCCCGATCGGTTCAGCCGTTTTGACGTTTTATTGGATACAAACAGACAGACAAACAAAAAAACAAACAGACAGACAAGCCAAATTTATATATAGATATCATATGTTAAAGAGAATTTTAAAGTTGAATGCAAAGATGTTTTAAAAATTTTCAATTTGTTTCGAACATTTCGTTTAGCATCTAAGATATATGTAACATGTAATATAAGAACGGGTATGCGTATGTATGTAGAATATGTATATTCTTGTATACAAGGTATTAGAGTAGGATAAGTTTCGCATGTAATCTATGTGAGGAATAAAAGGTTTCTATCTTCTATACTTAATCTTCATTAGTCCAAGAAAACTTTTAATCCATCAAAACTTTTGAACTCTATTCATATCAGCCTTAAGGAGTTTTAACTATAACTCACTCACTGACTGACTTACTGACTGACTGACTGACTGACTGACTGACTGACTGACTGACTGACTGACTCACTCACTCACCCACTGACTCACTCACTCACTCACTTACAAACTCACTGACTGAATCACTCACAAACTCACTGACTGACTGACTCACTCTCTCAATCAATCTGCCCGCTTTCTTGTTATGAATTCAGAATTCTAAAATCCCGCCCAGTTCAAGATTATGGAAAGTGAAACCAGAAAAGTGCGGAAACGCCCCTTTAAAAACTAATCTTTCAGTCAGTTATAAACTCATCATGAAAACAAGAGAGGCAAGATAGTGGGGCGGGGTGTTTGATAAATGAATAAATATGAATATTTAATTTCATTGACATTTATAATTATCAAGATCATTAATATCCGCGTGGCACTGTTCCAAAATTATGTATAAATTAATAATGAGCTTACAACACGGTGTACCAATAAACAATAAACATGCTAATTAGAAGAATAGTTAAAAAAGTATTTGATTTAAGATTTTTTTATCCAATGACAAAAATGTGTTAAGATTTCCGAAAGATCTCCAAAATGAAGTCTCTCCTCTGGAGCGAAGGAAGGCACACCACACCATTTTTTCGTCCGCACCACAAATGACGTCACAATTTAGCACTATTTTCTCCGATCACACCTTTTTTCGTCCGGGCGTTGCTTTTGTGTTTTCAGACGTACTTTTTCAAGTTTAGGCAACTTTACTTACAAACTGCTAGTTTAAGGTGATCGTCGCTGGGCTTTTCAGAATCTTCAACTAAAAAATTAACATAATTTTTGTCAGGATCATAGCAAGTGGTTTAGGTATTACGGAATGTCTATGACTTGTTTTATGCCCATTGTACCTTCATAAGATGTTATTCTTTAAAAAAAGGTAATATATTTTAAACCATTATGTACAACATGACTTGGCTCAAAATTCGAATAAAATAATGTAAAGAATGTATACAATGCCGGACGAAATAATGGTGAATTATGACGTCATTTGTGGCCGGGCGAAAAAAAGGTATGGTGTGCCTTCCCTCCCTCCTCCTCTATCATCTAAGAAAAGTCTGAAGAGATTGTTGTTCAAATCAATTTTGATGTTATTAATAAATTCAAATCTGAGCAAAATTTTTCAAGTATTTAAATTGTGAGCTGAAGTTTAAAGAATATTTGGCAGAAATCTGATCGAGCATGCACATCTTAGTTTACAGTGGTAAACGGACTGTAAGTAGGGACTATAAAGTTATCACTCTTTTGCAGTGCTTAGGATCCGGATCCGCAAGATTTTGGCTTCCTGGATACGGATCCGCAAAAATATGCGGATCCACGGATCCGGATCCAAGGGGTAAAATATAAACCAATAACTGCAATAAAGCTTTTTTACTCCTAAACCCCAAATCAGAACTTTTGAAAAATGAGAGATTATAAAAATGTCCTCATTTCTGAATGGTTCATCAAGTTTTAGGATAAAACAAGCGAAAAAAAATAAAACAAAAATTTGAAAATTATTTTTTGTTAAAAAAATCAATAAATCTTAAAGAAATGACCTTGATCCGGATTAATTTTTTTCCAGTACGGATCCAGGATCCGGATCCGCATCAAAATTAAATGGATTCTAAGCACTGCTGTCTGCTTTTTTGAAAAACGATAGTTTTTCTCGAAAAACGACAGTGAAAAAAACGAAAAACAAGGTAGTTTATAAAACGATATTTTTGAAAAAATAATCGACGAATAAGACCTTTGCTGAACCAAATTAATACAAAAAAAAAATCAAAAACCTACAACAAAAAAATATTTCAGGAAAAGTAGTACCATCCTCATGAACAAAATACACAAGCATGCTAAATATTTGAAATCCTAGAAAAATTTCACATAAACTAGAAATAAGTTAACATTTCAATTTAGAACTTTTTAACCTAATTTAAGTTTACATATAAAACTTCACCACGCTTTCAGAATACATTTATCCCAATTCCATTCAAGATTCAAATACTAAATAATTCTTTTTATCCAACTGACATACTTTACAAGTCTGTATGTTGACATAAGGAATTTCAAAAGAAATTGATATACATAATTTTATACGCATTTCATACGAAACTTTGCATTTTTTATCTCAAATTTTGTTTAATGTATGTATTAATAACAGTTTCCTAAAAACTGTTAAAAACCTGCTCATTGATGTCACAATCAACATGCTCCTCCAAAGCTTTAACATAATATGTAAATAAACATCTAACCTCTTTCAATTATCCAACCATAGTTTATCCAAGAATGTAAGGCAAGGAAAGTTTATTGCGGTCGTGTATACTCTGCGTACATATTGAAACCAGTTCTCTTTGGGCGGAATTTGTAAACAAGAATAGATGCATCAGTGTTCGTTTAGTATCCGAGGAGGATAAAAGCATTTAATTTTGATAATTCGCATAGTAGTTTCATATGACCAGAATATTTCATTGATTTTTTTGTGAAAGATGGATCCCATTTCAGGCTTCGACATCCGTCTTGTGTTTACATTACAAAAGATGTGTACACTTCTGAAATAACTTTACTTGCTTTACAATCCTCGAGTTCATCCTTCTATTCTATAATTTTACGACAGTTGTCTATTAAAACAAATAATTATTTTGTTCGAATGTACGATCATAACTCATGAAACCCCTGGCCCGATTTGCCTCAAATTTTGAAAAAGGAACTCAAGCTAGCGCAACAATAATGCTGATTATCTATCCGATCTGTAGGAGCTACTTTCCACATTTAAAAACATTCAAATAAGATGCAGAATACAAATAAAATAACAAATTCTTATTGATATATTTTATTTAAATTCATAATTAAGACATTTTATTACTATTAGTTAACGACTAAACAGTCAGATACGAGAGAACGGCCATCTGTCTTTTCCTGTCGAAACATAGATGGCCGGATTACACAACAAGGATCCATGGAAATATTGCAAAAAATGCATTAAAATGTTTGAACCAATTAATCTAAAACCCCGGTCCGAAAATAAAATAAATAACGCAATATTTCCAAGACACCCTATGCTGTACCGTACATAGGCCTTTGGAGAAAGGGTTTGTACAAGATACTGTAGACAAGATTTGTTTGTTACCAAGGATAAGGAGATCGCTAAAATCCGCGAGTAAATTCATAAATTCAAGAGACCAAAATGTTGCGGATTTTACCCAATGATCGGTATCCTGGATTAGGCCAACCTATCAATCTATCAGTGTCGTATTATACATGAATCACAGTAACAATATGAAATAAACTTAAAACTATACAGTATGAATATTTTCTAATAGTTATCGCCACGTACAAACAAGAATTGGTTAGAGGTAAAATAACAAAATTAAATGCTAAGTTTCAGGTGAATAAAGGCGACGACAACTACTAAAAAATATGAAAATATTTTGATTTAAATTTGAACAAAACAGACATTTTTACCAGTGCTCACAGTAAGAATCAGAAAGTTATTTTTGTGCTTTATCTTGTGGAAGACAGCGTCTAATTTAAAAAGGGCAATGTTAAGATGGAAATTTTGGGGGAAAATGTTGAGCACTTTCTTACTTACTAAAACGGGTTAAATATAATTATTGTCTTTGGTAAATCTAATCCAAAACTCAGTCAGCTTTAATAACACCCTGACAATGTCAGTCAAAATTATTGTAAAATGCCAAAAAAACTGTTTCATCTATTTCATTGCACATTCCAGAGCAGTCAAGGAAGGTTTCTACAAGATTGATTTAACAGTCAAGGAAAGGATCTGCATGCCATTAAACTATAGTTGTGCACTGTATTAATGTATTTTTTATTAGACAGATTGAGAAAAAGATATTTAGACGCCGTCTCGGAGCTAAGATTTTACCCTCTCAGACATAAGACAAATGTGTGGGAATGTTTAAATCTTTATAAAGATGATCTTTAGGAATTATGTAAGTTTATTGTTAGTAGTCTTTAATATATATTTTCATCTTTAAAAAGGTTTAAAATCCATCATAACTGTGAGATTACATTTTATCGAGCATTAATCTGGAACGAGCCAAGAATATTCTAGAAGAAGTGAACAAATAAGATTTTACACATATACAGAAGGTTTCCAGATTTGAGACCATTCCATGAGGCAAGAAACGCACCCTATGATAGATTTTCAAAATACTTACAACAGATTTAAACTGTACATAAATCACAAAAAGGAAAGTAAACAAACCATAATTGGTTGAATACGATCGTATCTTCGAAATATACTTTTCTTGCCTGGAAAACAGTCATGCAAGGATTTCAAACATTATTTATCTTTTTCAAATACAAATATGTTCAATGCGCATGCTCCACAAGGCCTAAAATGAAACAGTGTCAATATTTACCCCCCCCCCCTTTCTGTCTACATCTTTAATCAAATCCCTTAAAATCAGACACTCATGGATAGTGATAACTTTAGTAGAAACGAAATTAAAAACAAAGGGTTCAACGGAGCAATGGAACAACAGAATAATGAAGGGGGGGGGGTAACACGTGCAGAGGGGCGGGATCAGAGTTTTTAATACTGCCTTAGCTTGACATGGGCTGCATTCATACACTTTTAGAAATGTTTATTTTAAAATTTATGAACTTGAGAAAGTCGAAGTGAGTCGTCAACATATTTACAGGTAGCATATCTAAAATTGTACAATATGTATTCCTTCGAAACATTTTTAAAAAATTCAAAACAGAACTAACACAGAACCAAGTATGTGCAGTACATGAAACACTGTAAAAGCTGTTAAAGCTCAAATCTGAAGAAATTGTCAACATACATCATGTACAATGTACATACAATTACATTCCAACATCATGCACATTCTGTTGTGGATAAGCATACACATGTCAAGCAACATGTCAAGCAATAAAATATTTATCTTAATATAACCCTGTCCTGCACATTGCCTATTAATGCTATTTGACACCCCTCCCACCTCCCCTATCTCTGGCACAAACCCAAATAGAAATAATATTTTGTTTTTCTGACCTTTTGTGTATATATAGAGAGGTATAGGGTAGGGGAATACAGCTTTTCTTAGTCAACTGCATTCAGGAAAGGAATTAAAAACGTTTATTTTTTTAATATTTGAAGTGTGCAAAATATTTATAATCTTTTAATAAAAATGTCAGCTTAATCTTATTTAAACTAAATAAAAAATTATTTTCAATAATTCATTTTTCCATAATGCTTCAAGACATGCACTCAAAATCATCAAAGTCGAGATGTTTATCTAGCAAATGGAGCCCANAATCAGTGGCCTTGTCTTGTTTTCAGTGTAGGGGGGGGTGATCTGGAAAGGCAGGAAATGATAAAAGTTCAGTTTTAAAAGTTTTCACAGCACCGTTGTGTAGTAAGCTAACCCCATTTATGTAAATAAATGAGCAGGTAATAAATATATTAAGTGTATAAATTCTAAATTAAAAAGCTATCAGCACCATATTGAGCATCTGAGAAAATAAAAACTTTAAAAATATCACAAGTTTAGTAGAGAACCGTTTCACAGTAGGTCTTTGGAGATCGCGATTGCATTTGAAGGAAATCAACTGATTTTGAGGGTTTAAAGACACGGAGAAGCACCAAGGCCCTAATACGTTCTTGCTCGTTTTAAGGATATGTCGAGATTAGAAACTAGAAAATGCTTTTAACAACTGAAATATCAACAATACAATACCAATTATTATTTTAATCTGTTCACTGGAGATTTTTGAGTATTTGCAGTACTGAGTATATTTTGTTCTCAATTAATTAAATACTTAATTAAAGGAGTTCTAAAGATTACTACCTCTTGGAAATAGTTATTTATATGTGCGTCATATAACGTGCTTCAGCGTTACGCAAAAGTCCACATACCTTGACGCGAAAAGTTGCTACGATTTGGAATGGGATCTAGATAGCTGAGGGCTTCCAGGAATGTAGGCCTCGTTTCGAAACATAGGATAAATGAGGTTTTCCTTTCAATAGAACCATGTATACAGGACACAGGTATATGTAGGGGAACTATTATTCAGAGGAAATTCTATTAGGTCACCCTAGATCTATGTCTTAACTAGACAGATTCTCACTCCTTTCAGATCGATTTTGGGAGGCGAAGTAGGCCACAGAGATTTTTGATCTCAAGACTCTAGTACGGTGTGAACCGTCGGTAGAGGGAGTTCTGATATCCAGCAATGGGACCTATGCTTTGTCCCAGGTAGGGATCTGTCAAGGCAGTTGCACCAAGGCCATAAGCTTGTGCTTGCTGCAGGGTAAGTCCTGCAGGGAGGCCCGCAAAAGAACCCCCGGCTGTAAGACCTCGGAACGGTAGACTCATCGTGGGAGCCATTCCTGCCATTGTTGTAATAGCAGCAGGGTTTGGGGCTGATGTCTTCCCTGCCTGTGACTTAAGTGCAGCTAGCTGGACTTGCGCCTGTGCAAGTATATTGCTGCTCATAGAGGTGCTTACTGTAGGATTTGGGGTTCCACCCTGAGGAGCTCCAGCTGCGGCCGCTTGGGCATGAACTACATGTGCTGCTGAAACACCAGGCATACCGTGAGCTTGAGCTTGTGCCTGAGCCTGGGCTTGCGCCTGTGCCTGAGCTTGTGCTTGTGCCATACTTGCATTAACCTAAACATAAAAAAAATTAAATGCAAGTTCAACAATGTTGCGACCGAAATAAATTTTTTTTTAGATCCAAGTTGAAAAAATCTAACAATCTTATTGTTGATCTAAATCAATCTTTAAAATTATACTGATACTAATCAACTGACTAAATGCATGCAGAATAAACCAATGAAAATAAATTTAGTTGATTTGAGAACTTGTTTCTGATTGCCAGGTTTCTAACTAACTACAAATTCAAGAATAAAAAGTAAGAACAGGCAAAGTAAACAGTTGAGTGTGGTGGTCCAGGCAATTAAGAAAATTGAGAGCAGTGAACACAAGTTAAGGGAACAAGACAAACTTTGACCGAATAAATACTCAAAGTTTGCAAACAGACAAGGGATAAATTTATATATTAAAATTCTTCTTTTTGGCAGGAAAAAAGTCGTCAATTATGATTGTTTATGAGCTTAAAATAGTCAGGATTATATTAGTCCAGCTTTTCCTAGTTTACCCCTGTTCACGGTTAGATTGTTAAGAGGATGGTGTATATCAATCTAATTTGATGGGCTGAAAAGAATCTTAAAAGTAAGTCAGAATCCTTCCTCTCTACGTTTCTTCATGGTAAATAATTAGACAAGGTAAATAATAAGACGAGGCTTCAGTAAGTTCAGAAGAACAGTAACTATAGGCGTTCTGTCAGGTAAATTGTGCCTAAAAAACATCCTGAGTGTAGCTCAAATCTACTTTTTATCTACTCTTAATATATGGTGATTCTATGACCGAATGCTATGTCTTACTGTTAAACATACTCAGTTGTCAATTTTATATTTATCAATGTTAGTAAAATTCTGGCTAATAGAATCCCATCCATCCCATCTTCTTAGTGGGATACCAACCTTCATTAACAACAACGGGAATTAATTCCTCCAGGGGAATTTAGAAACTTTTAGGGAGGAAAAACAAAATGTGAAGGAAAGAGAATACTTCAAAGAAACAAGAGTAACTTTAGCAAGTTTAAAAACAATGTTTATATAAAAATTAAGAGTTTTAACTAAAAATAGACCTTGAATGACTCTGAACCAATAGTCATAAATACATAGCCAAAGGCCAATGGTGATAAGCTATCGAAAACTACATTGTTTATATCCCAAACATGGGGAAACAGAAACACAAGAAACTATTCTTAGAACAGAGTGAAAGAACATTAATTAACTATAACAATCAATTTGAGTGGAAATACTGAGAGAACCCCTTGAAAATAGCAATCAGGAGTATATCTTGACATGACAGGAGTAGGGGGGGATTGGAATAATGATATTTAAAGCTCCAGGAGAATGAAGATTTGATGAGATTTTCTGAATATTTATGATGAAATGTCAGACATAGGTCAACCTTCTACATTTTCTTCAGACACCGTACCCATCATAAGTTCAAACTAAGATGGTTAAAAAGAGATTTAATAATGACAGTTCTTCCATATTGAGTGTGTTCAACTTCAACTAGAAGAAAACAAGAAAAAGTGAAACTAAATGGTTTATTAATAGCTTGAGAGATGATGATGCTAATGCTTGTGAAAAAGATGAAACTATTTCACAATGAACATAATAATGGAGGATGAAGATAATTTAGAACTAAGAAACTAACATACCATTAAGTAGGTATAGATTTTGAACAGAATTTTACTCCTGTTTAATAGTTCCTCCATTAGAACAAGAAAAGGTCTAGACCAGAATAGTTCTTCCATGAGAGCAAGAAAAGATCTAGACCAGAACTATGCTCCTTGTTTAATAGTTCCTCCATGAGAACAAGAAAAGATCTAGACCAGAACTATACTCCTGTTTAATAGATCCTCCATGAGAACAAGAAAAGATCTAGACCAGAACTATACTCCTGTTTAATAGATCCTCCATGAGAACAAGAAAAGGAGGGTAAAGATCAGCCAACTAATGAAGGAGAAACTCATTTACAGAGCTGAAGGTATTAATTAATCCAATTGAATAAGTAGATATTCTAAACACTTTAGAAAGGTTTAAGACGCGTAGAGAATATTCAAACTAAGCTCCCAGGGAAGTTTAAGTTTAAACATCTTACAAAAATAAACAATACTAATGACTTCACAGTAAAGATCAGTCAATCTCAGGGCCTAAATTCCTTACATGATGCTTTCAAATCTCTTTAAAAGATTGATGTGAGTATTGAGTATTAACAACATAGATATAATTCATAATTCATAACCTAATCAAAGATCTGTGAACACAAGCTGGAAAAAGCTGGACTACAATAAATCCCGATTTAGATGTTTTCCAAGATAATAATCCATTTCGTTAACTTACTTTGGACAAAACATGTTGGTGTAGTTAAAGGGACTGTAAGCGTAGTTTCGAGTGCAAAGATAATAATGCCCGATGCACAAAGGTACCCTTGAAAACTTTATAATATCTATAATGTGGAAGATATTGTCGTTTTTCTAGGTTTTACTTCTGATAATCTCTAAGTATATGTTTTACAGTAGAAATGCAGAATTCACTTTTATAGAGAAACTACATTTGAAAAAATAAGTTTTCAAAATTATAAACATTGAAATTATTCAAATTTGATTAGACAAAGCTTTTAAGGGTACCGTTGTGAATAGAGCAGTGTCATCTTTGCATTGAGGGTTACTTGCAATTACGCTTCAGTCCCTTTAAAGGGACTGTCAAGGAGTTGAAACTGGAGGTATATACTTTTTCTTGGAAAAATTTGCATATGACCGTTCATGCAACTTTTGTTTCAATCCTTGAATTGTAAAAACTGAACAGTCCCTTTATAGGTATTGCATGCACATGTATTAGTAAATACAGGCCTGTTGTGCCTGGATCTGGGCATAATACTGCCTCAGAGCTGCCTGGGGATCTCCTGACTCCCTTTGCTGCTCTCGTTGTCGCTGGAACTGAAGTTGACAAAATATTTTAGGTTTTGTCAAGTTAAACCTCTTATACTTCAGATTAGGATAATAATAAAGAGACATGTCACGGTTTCTTCAGTGATGTATAAGAAAACACAAAAAACTTGCATAATGTTATGAATATTACTATTTTGCAATGTAAAATTGATCATATGTTTCAATAGTCCAGGAACCGAATTTGATGAATTTAAGCTACGTCGCTTGACTAACTTCTGCCGGTTTTTTGAACCACCAATTCAAGGTTAAAGACTAAGTAAGGATAGGTGATTCAAATTAAACGTTTGAGAGCAAGTGAGAATTTAAATCGGTGATTCAAATTTGAACCGACGACGGTAGCCAGTTCAAATTCATTAAATTCGGTCCCAGGTGGAACAAAACAAAATCCAGGTCTACATAATTTTTATGCGTAAGCAAACCCCTAAAGAAACTTTAACACTTCTCTAAATTGTTACAAACAATAATATTTCACATGGAAGAAGAACAGTACATATTTTTATGTGTTGATTTTAAAGCTTTAATTTTCCAACCTCAAAGTTATTTTTCTTCTCCCATTAATTAAAAAAAATGTAGCATAGTTTAGGGAGGGCAATTTTTCAAGAAAATATATAATGTTGAATGACATTGAAATTTTCTGTTAAAGAGCATGCTTTAGTTTAATAATTAAAGTTTTAGTACTAAGTAAAAGGTTTGGAAATACAACCTTGTACTTAGTGCATATTATTAGTCATGCAGTTTGATTTGTGCTTAGTAAAATAGTTTTATTACAATATTACCAGCATAAGTGACGTACCATTTGTGGTAAACAAAATTTCATGCAAAAAATATTGTTGAACTTAATTCTCGGCTGTGGTAGGTTTTATAGGAAATTGAAAACATTTATAGCAACTGCAGTAAACATTTAACCCCGGAATGTCTGCAGCAAAAAAACGATAAATACAAAAGTAGTTCTTAAATTTTGACTCAGCATGCCATTTTGAGCCCAGCATGCCATTTTAAGCTCCGACACCAAGAATAAAAAGCAGTTTTTCGGCTTACTAATATTTACACTGTAAACAAATTGAGCCCTATATGAGAAAAATACTAGGAAAAAAGAAGTTTTCAAGAATAGGAAAAAGTATAAGAAGTGAAAACTGGAAAGAGGAATAAATGGAGAAAAAGACGAATGATAGTAGGAGAAAATATGGGAAGACGGGGATCTGTTTACAGTGTGAATTAATTTTAGTACTGCGGATATCTATTTTCAAGAATAAATTATTTCAATCTCTATCTTTAAGTATCGAATAATAGTTTCATTTTAATTAATTCTTAAAGTAAGACTAAATTCTCCTTGAAGATGAATATCCTTGTACCGAACTGCAATTGTACTGCATGCAGGTATATTTATATACACGCCTGCTGGGCCTGATACTGCTGTAAATAGAACTGTTTGAGAGCCTGACCCGGGTCCATGGCTTCACGGGGATCCATGCCACCTCCCAAACGCAAATACTAAATTCAATCAGTTAACTCACTGCAATTTTGATTAAGTAAGCTTCTAATTTTGATTAAGTGAGGTTGCTATTTTAATTTAATGAGGCCATTATTTTAATTCAGTGAAGCCGCCATTTTAATTGAAAGAGGCCGCCATTTAGATTTAGTAAGGTCGCCATTTTGAATAAGTGACTCCACCATTTTGATTAGCATGACCGCTATTTTGATTTTGATATTGATTAAGATTTTTAATTAAAAAGGTTTGCGAATTTTATATATACATTTTATATATTTATTTTATACATATATTTTATATATATATTTTTGTCGTGTTTCTAAGGCTTGCAAAATGTCTTTGTTAAGTTGCAATATCCTTGTGGAAAAAATTGGTTTCAATAAAACTAAGGAAACTGACGTTTTCTCAAATAAACCTCGTTTACACATTTTCATTTTCTCGTCAGCGAATAAAGAACTTGAAAGCATGATGGACATAAAAAAATTCAAGTATTCCACATATAGAACCAAGAATGTTGTAGTTTTATTTGTGCAAGAGCTAAATAAGTTTGGACCTTTCCATATCGCCATGAGAAAGCAATGAGGTTATGTAAAAGAACTAAAGTATTTGACAATGGACTACCTTTAAAACCCGTATCTGTTTAATGATAGAAGCAATATTTCTCTAAAAGCTAAAACTGTAAAATAACAAGAGGAGGTGTAGTGAAATTATAAGAATGGAAGATGTGGAATTGGTAAATTTTTCAGCTAAACCCAGATAAACCAATAAATTGCGGGAGAAAGCTATACAATACAATAAAGAATGTAGATGAACAAAACACGCAGAATTCCTTTTATCTGAACCTGTCTAGAAAGCAAATAATAATCATTTCATTTCACAAATTGTTGTCTAACAAAAAGGTAAAATGAAAAGTAACTAAAAAAACATTAAACATTAAAAGAAAAGGTCACAAAAAAGGGGTGATTTAGGATTTATCTCGGTTAAATTTAAGAAGACAACCGAAAAATTTGTTTTAAGCCACATTTTCAGTAAAACTAAAACGATTTCTTTGATGGGCTGAGATGGTTGGTTCACTCTAAATAGAAAACTAAAACCGATATAAGAATAGCAACAATTAATTTCAAAATTTAACTAAGTTGTCCTACACCTCATTTTAAATTTGTAACAGTTCCTTTTAACGTTTTTATCTAATTAACGTTTAAATTACAACATATGATTAATAAGTGATAAGTGGTTAATAACAAACAGTTAATTTGGAAATAAAAAATCTTCTATTTATGTTAATTTAAATCTAATTCTAAAAAACAATGTGCGAGACATCAGACATGTGTCCGATATTTGGTAGATTTTATTTGTCTGTACAGAATTACCCCGGACCATTAACATCTAACAAACAACTCGGTGTAAAATTGACTTTTTCTTTGTTAAAAAATGGAACCCAAAAGATGTATATAAATTCCAAAAATAAAAATGCAAATTTAAATTTTGAGTTATTTTTTGAAGGGAAAAATATATTTCTTTCGGCAAAAATAAAGGGATTAAGTGCAAGGTTAAATACCTGTGCTTGAAGTAGTCTAGGATCTATGCCTGCAGGAAGAAGTCCAGGTTGGGGAACAGCCTGTTGAACCTGTGGAGGAGCTACTAGACCTTGAAGCATTGCTGGATCATATCCAGCATATACCAGATTCCCTCCCACACCCTGATATACTCCCAGCTGTTGAAGCTGCTGGAGCTGTTGCAGTGGAAGTGCTGCTGACATAGCTCCTGCAGTTGCTGGTGGATATCCACGAAGAATCCTTCCACGGGTTATCGCTGCGCCCCTAAGAGCAGCGGCGGCCATGTTGGCCACGCCGGGCAAACCGATCTGACTGGGGGCTAGGCCAACTGGTGGAGGTGCAGCAGCAGGCTTCTTCGTCTGTACTCGAGCTGTGGCATTGTTAACCTCAATCTTTCTACCCTCTACCACAGATCCATGTAGCTCTGCTCGGGCACTCTCAGCATCTTCAGCGTTACCAAAGGTGACAAAGCCAAATCCTTTCGATCCGCGCTCATTAAAGATGATTTCCACATCGAGTATATTTCCATGTTTACCAAACATCTGTCGAAGATCAGGATCTCGAAATCGAAACGGAATGTTTGACACATGAAGCCGCTTAGGGGCAAGATCTTTGTCATTAGGTATCGCTAGAACTCCATTATGCTCCTCACCCTCAATGCTGTGTCCACCCTCAATTCCGTTAGTCTGGGAGATCATGGTGCTGGCGTTGAAGTTGTCCTGCTTTAACTGACTTATTTCATCATTTCGGGAAAACTTTTTTCTATCAAACTTCATTTCCCGTACATGGAGGTCTCAGGGGTATCTCGGCCAATATATGAAGGATTGATTTAAACTTGATATCTGAAAATAAATATTTATTATTATCAAGAACATCTGTTACATAAGGATAGGGCATGCACTCTGGTTGTAAACGAGGGAAAAGACCCCACCCCCCCC